TTAGGGCTAGTGGCAGACAATTATTTTATGCAAATTGTGACTTACAGACCATTGCAACTTAGAACCTAGTTGTCCTCTCTGCAGTATAACCATGTGTCAATTGAATAATTATTCTGACTTAATGGGATAGTTCACCCAAAAATTAAAATTAGATGACTATTTACTCTCCCTCATGTGGTTTCAAACCTTTAGGTTTCCTTCTTCTGTTCACACAAGAAGATAGTTTGAAGAAAGCTGAAAACCTGTAACCATTGACTTCCATAGTAATATAAAGCATTCATTCGTTCAGTCATTCATTCATTTTCCCTTCGGCTTAGTATCTTTATTAATCAGGGGTCACCACAATGAAACGCCAGCATATGTTTTACGCAGCGGATGCCCTTCCAGCTGCAACCCATCACTGAGAAACATCCATACACACTCATTCACACACATACACTATGGACAATTTAGCTTACCCAGTTCACCTATACCACATGTCTTTGGAGTTGTGGGGGAAATCTGAACATGCAAACTTCACACAGAAATACCAACTGACCCAGCTGAGGCTCGAACCAGTGACTTCTTGCTGTGAGGCAATTGTGCTACCCACTGCACCATCATGACATCCTAATATAAAATGAATATTATGGAAATCAATGGTTACAGCTCTCCAGCATTTTTCAAAATATCTTCAATTGTGGTAAACAGAAGAAAGAATGTCAAACTGGTTTGGAACAAGTAAAGGGTGAGTAACCTATAACCCTGCGAAATGACATTCCATTAAACAATATATATATATATATATATATATATATATATATATATATATATATATATATATATATATATATATATATATATATATATATATATATACTTCTTAAATACTTTGAATTGTGAGGTAAAAACAATAAATAATTGCTAGATAAAAATTGTGACATCAGAATTGTGAAATATACGTTTGGAATTGTGACATTCTCATAACTGTTAGTTACAAACTCTCAATTGTGAGAGGGAAGTGAGAATTATTGAGAATTATGAGATATAAATTCAGACTTCTAATTAGTTTTTAATTAATTAGGAAAACAAGCTTCTATTTATAGTAAATGCATAATAAGTGCCTTAGTGGCAGCTGTAAACACTAAATAATTGTAATAATTGACACTAATTTGTATATATTATCTAAATGTGTTAAATTGCCCCATTTATATATAGTGTCTCAAAGGAAACTGTATATGAATATTGTGTTAATGTGTATTTCTGTGCAGAATTTAGTAAAAAATAAATCTGCAGATTTATGGGAAATGATTTTAGGGGTATCCTAACTGAAAAACTAAATATATTAAATAAATAAATGAAAAAAAAAAAACTTTTTAACTTGTATTTAATGAAAATCTGTTTAGATCCACATATTTGCTAAACAAAACAAGTTTCTCATATAAAATTGCTACTAACAGACAGAAAATGTTACTTTACAAATTATATTGTTAATAAATAAAATAAAAATGTTTATATTAGTCAATTTTGCTGAAATTATTGACTAAAAACGGAATAAATATAAATTTACACGCATTAACACAAGCTAATAAATAGACTCAATGGTGGGCTAAAAATCTGTAGAATCCATGGGGCCTATAGTCATCAATATAGTGTTTCAGTGTTACTCTCTGCACAAGCTTAAAAGTTTGTAACACATTTGTATAATCCTCGAACAAACTGTTTCAGGCACTTTGAGAAAAGAGCTGATGATGCAGGCTGTGTTACGTAATAATGAATTAGTTTTTTGACCTTGAATTCCTGTAAGCCCATTATAGGGGTTGTCCTATAAACAAAATTAGGAACCTTTAAAATGGCATAATAGTGGCACTTTAAATACATATTTTGAATAATGAGATTTCCATGATTTCAGCAGGTCTTGCTAAATATTTGCATGTGTGTGTTTATGTCTTGTAGGCCAATGTTGGAATGAAGATGTTTTCTGGAGCTCCGATTTCTAAAAACAGAAATGCATCCCGGAAAGCTGCTTGCACTTCAAGTTCACTTACACATGATCTCATTAGTAGTCCTAATAGAGCAAAGTTTTACTTCTTCTGTAGACGTAAATATGTTCATAGCTTTTCACTGGCAGAGACTGCTGATGAACTATATTTCTGCATTTGCAATATTTAACAAGCACTATTTTGTTTTTAGCATAGACTAATATTTTTCCTCTAAAAATGTCTTGAATATGTATATTTGCGTTCTTTTATAAAGTCCTTTGTAAGCCAAATGTGAAATTTAATATTTTTGTGTTTATTAAAAATATTTTGTGCAAAAGGCTTTGTTGTACTGAATAATAGAATATGCTTATGGTTACTAGTGCTAGTTTTACTCCTTGATACATTTTTAAAACTTCTGAATCTAATGTTTATTTGGTGACCAGCAAACCTATTTCATCATATCACGTGTACTGGACACATGATATTGAGGTACTTAGGCACATTTCAGTGCTTTACTGTAAGTCAAGCCAAGGGGACTAAAAAATACTGTATCTTTCTATGAGGACAGATTGTGTTTTGTATCAGTGTACTGTTTTAAGGATTGTGTAACTCAAGGTTATTTGACTGTTCAAATTCAGTCTAGAATAATCACTTTTTTTCTGCAAAGTTTAGATAAAAACCTAAAAAGCATCCAGATGAGCTAATGTGGGAATACTTCTATGATGTAATATACATTATTAGGCATTCACTAACTAAATTAACTAGTTTTAAAGTCAGAAAAGTGATTTAACCTATGCACATTATCACTTAATATATGTATTAAAAGTAATTTGTATGCAAGTTTACCATGCTTTTGGGGATTAAAATCTCCTGTACATTTCAATTCCTTTACATTACACTTTGGTTGTTATTGATTTTTGTTGATTTATCTACATACAGGTTGCATTTTATTTACAAAAACGTAAAGGATCAAAGTTTTGTTGATCAAATAATTGTCATTTTTACACTTTATGCAAATTTTCTTCAAACCACTAGGTTTTACCCATTCATCAGCAAGATGTGTTATCACCAACTTTAATAAGTACAGCTCTTATTAAGTATGTTGTTTAATTTTCATATTAATTTATATTTTGACTTATAATTTACCTTTTTTTTCAGCCATATTATCAAGACTTATTCATGTTTGTCAAGACATATTATCAATCGCCTATTTTAATTAGTACAAAGTTTGTTTATTTTCATAATCATTCATATTTTGACGTACAATTCAGTGACAGTGAAAATGTGTTTCATTCATATTTTGACTTTTTTTTTTTACAAATATTTTTTTTAATTTTATAAATTATGTATTAAACTATGCTCCCTTCCCAACAAATCTCTTGAGTGATGATTCTTCACTTAAAGCATGGGAGGGCGGAAGGTTATCAAGAACCATCTGCTGACCAAACGGGTCAAGCAAGGGTCACTTGAAATAACTGCTGGAGATTCTTTTTCATCTTATCACTTTAACATTTGGTTGTTTTTCTAAAGATGTGGGAACTGAAGAGCATCACATTCATTTACATTTCAAGTGAAACCTGGTTTATAAGTTTGGCAGGAAGATGTAAAACTGCAGGCCTATAAAATGTTTGAGCTGTTAAGGATTCATACTTATTCTGCTGAATAAGTACTGTCTATCATCTGACTGCTATATGCTCTAATAAAACCATTCTTCTTCAAAATAACTTCATCATATTTTTCTTACAAAACATCAAACATGATGTTTGTATTTAATATGCTGTCCACATATAGAAACATAATTTGATATTGACACCAAAAATAGGCCCATGCAAGCTGTTTATTGATACATAATTCAGTGTATCCACTTATACACATCTATTTTGACACCCTGCAGTTTATACAGCTTATAAATGAGGACTTCATCTACGTGTACATAAAGCTCATAATAATAGGTGAACCAATTAAGTGTTGTACAGAACCTATAGACTATTTCAATTTGGTCATGGCATTGTCCCATGAACATTCCCTGGTAGTTATCAAACTATTTTATAACTGTAACAAGAGGCAGTTTAATCATAACTTAATGTTAAAACAACTATCAAAACATTATTTATCAATGTGTGGCTTTTTGGATTCTCGGAAACTATAGAAATTAAACATGTAAAACAGGAAATACGTTGGGACAATTGTTTTTGTTTACATCCCTCAAAATGGCCAATAAAATGTAATGGTGCTCCATTGGTTCTTTGTAGTGATTAAGGTGCTACAGTATGTAGCTCTAAACTCTGTTAAAAAAAAAAAGACTACGGTGCTAAATAGCACTGTATGTGGTTCCCCTATGTTTGCAAGCCACTTTTAGTGATGCGCACCGTAGCAATGTGTTTCTCAACCACGTTCATGGAGGGTTACCAGTACTGCGTATTTTGGATGCCTCCTTCATCTTTCACACCCATTACAGGTCTTTTAGCTAATGAGCTGATGATCTGCATCAGGTGTGTTTGGTGAAGGAGACATGCAAAATGTACCGAGTGGTGGTGCCCCAGGAACGTGGTTGAGAAACACTGCAGTAGAACAGGAGTTACCACCCCAAAGAAACACCAGAGAACCATTACAAGTTCTTTAGGTTCTAGCACTTGAAGTGCTTCTATTTACAGTTAATTTATTATTAGTGTAAAATAAATAAAATAGAAAAATATAGACAACAAATATGCCCATCACATCCACTTACATCTGTTTATTCACAAAACACCTACACAAACACATTCTGATTTCCACTGAGAAGGTTGATGGTAATTAATTGGTCTGGTGTGAAGGGCATAATAAGTGTTGATTACACAAAACAGACCAACATTGATTTTGTACTGAGATGAAATGTCAGCTTTGAGCACAGCCTTTATGCAAGTTTTTTCATTCTCCAGCAGCAGCAGCAGAATATTAAATATTTTATTGCCATTCCTCCCTTCCTTCCTTTCATCTTTCTCATTTCATACACAAAAAGTATTTTGATCAGCAATAACGTGCTGTTTATCTGTTTTTCAGCTGGTCATTTCTTCAACCGTAACTCTGTGTCTCCGCGCAGCGTCGTCTGTGAGATGGAGCTTCCAGACATCCAGGCGTCTCTGGACATGTACGACGACAACAAATCCTGAGGACACGCACCTCAACACCTTAAGCCCATTCCTCCATCATCCTCTTCCCAAACCCCAGACTTTGGGGAACAACCTTTCTGAGTGTAAAATGGAGAATTGACAGTGAACACACACTGACTCTGGCGAATAAACTCTACCGCTGTAGAACTTTCATCGCCTCAAGCGGATGTGACTGGACTATTGCACATCATCAGCCTCCTTTTACACTTGTTTTTCTCTCTTTGAAAGACGTTTTCAAAAGACATCGGATGTTGAAAGTACCTCATAGTTGGTTCTCTCAGTTCTCTACAAATGTAGTCTCAACCGTCGTCTCATGTATGTAATTTGCGCTCCAATATTGTTCCAGATGGGGAAAACTCTCTGTTGGACGGTCTTAAAAGCTGGATGGGAAAACTGAGCCTTTATTGAAGACTGTCTGCTTTGTATCTCTGCTTTTTGTAGCTCTAAACGGCGTCTCAGATGCGAACAAACTCGTCCTTCATGTGCTCAAAATGCTGCAGCTTCACGATTAGTGCTGGTCTGATAGCACTGGAAAACTCCTCGACAAATCACCGTTACTTCCTCGTAGAAATATACAGTATTTCTCTGTACATAGAATGAAAATGTTTGAAACATGTATTTAAAGAAAATCCTATGGAATACCTATGGCGAATACTAATCAGTTCCAAGCAAGGGGACCTAATATACATAAACATATATGAATATATACAGTATTTGCATATAATAATTCATATATCTCTCTCTTTCTCAAGTGGCCTCTTAGCACAGTTTGTCTTTCCTGGATCTTGTCCGTGCACAAGAGTGTCTGTCTGTTTTTCGTTCTCGTTTTTTGGGGGTGGGTGTCGTGACATTGTGACCATTACTGGGCTGCTGATTCTGCATCGGGTTTGTTTTTTGTCATATAGTTGTGTTCAGGACTGGGCAGAAGCTCTGCTCTGAGTAAACTCAGTGAGTAAAGGCTCTGCTTTATGTGGGTCATGATAATGGGCTACCTATGTTACATACTGCCTCAGCATTAAACTTGTCAGAATTGCCTGTGCTGCTTTCATTCTTTGGGTGAGGTTTAAAATGAATGCAACATGGATCATTGTTGTTTTAGTATTATTTATACAGCCTATACTGTGTGACCCTGGACAACAAAACCCAATTACACAAGACTTTTAGGGACATTCGACCAGAAACGTACATTTTCACTAATAAAAAAATAAAGTGACAGAGCTTGACCTTTAAGATTGTCCTTTTCAGATAAATCATACAAAAACCCGCATAAAATCATATGAAAATCATATATTTTATGATATCATATATTAAAATCATAAAATCATCCTTGATCACTGTCAGCTGCTTCTCCATCAAATGATGTCACTACCTCATAGTCTTAAAGGTGTATTGCACAATTTTTTTGTGAATTGAATGCAAATGTGAGAGGACTGACAAAAACATGGGGACAATTGTAAAATAGTATTTATTTATAGAATTTATTCATAATTTCAAGTTTTTAATCAATTGATGTGAATGATAACAACTTAAACATGCTATTTCTGAAGTTTTTTTTTATTATCATTAACAGTTTTTAGCATAACAAAACTATTAAAGCTGTAGTTTCAATTGGGCTGAGGACAAGGGTTTGTACATTTGTAAAGTGTTTTTAATAAAGAAAAAAAAACTGAGAACAAAATGAAAACATATTCCTTTATAGAACAACTCTCAGAAATCAACTATCTGCATTTTAGAATTGTTTCGGGATGGAATACTTTTTATTCACTGTATTTATGTTTTCATTTCAGGGAGAGATAATGTACATTTCTGGTACACTCTCAGAAATAAGGCTATGACAACTTTTCACTGGGATGGTCCCTTACTATATATTAGTAACTAATAATTTCAAGAGGTACAATTTTGTACTTTTTAGGTATTAATATGTACCCTTGAGTTATTAATAATAAATCAAGTCAAGTGCAGTAATTGGGTTGAAAGTTGAGTCAACTCAAATGTCCTGAAGTTTGCTGCCTTAAAATTTTCAGTTGAGTCTACCTTTTTTTTCTCTTTTTTTTTTTTTATTTTTTTTAACAGTGTAAGTGGTCCTTCAGGCTTGTTTAAACCCTACAGGTAAGTGTGCTGATGCAGGGTGGGAACTACATACACTGTGCTGGGTTGCAGCCCTCCAGGAACTTAGTTTGACACCCCTGATTTATGGTAATAAAAATGTATATGAGTAAAAAGTGTAATTTTTAAACGACAAAAATCATTAGGATATTAAGTAAAGATCATGTTCCATGTAGATATTCTTTGTAAGTGTACTACTGTAAATACAAAAAAAAAAAAAAAAATATATATATATATATATATATATATATATATATATATATATATATATATATATATTATGAGCTACACTGAAATTTTTTTTTGATGGTGCTCTAAACTACATTGTAAAAAAAATCCTGGTTGACTCAATTTTTAAACCTGAATCTAATTACGCTTATGAGTCCAATGAACTTACATTAAAACAGCTTGTGTAACTTATAAAATTAAGTTAGTACATGATTAACTTAGTTTAGTAAGTTACAATGACATTAAACATGTGCTGTCAGAACTAATTGATCAAATAATTGTTTTAAAGTGTACTTATTTAAAATAAGCTGGGACAACTAAATTATTTTATGTTTAATCCACTTAAATTTGTAAAAGCAATTAGGTTAACTTACTCAATTTGTGTTGGGACAACATGAAGTAATTGTGTGGATATTTACAGTGTGATTTGAACCATTTTTAATTTAATCTTTATATTACAAAACTGTGGTTGATAAAAATGAATATATTTACATAGTAACCTACATTGTACTATGTGTGTTAGTTAATTCAGTTAATAAAAAATTAGGCTGCTTTTGTAATAACGAGTAACATAAGCGTGACCTTTAATTTATGACTTGTGACTAATTTGATGACTCACGGCTTATAAACGTCATTATGTTAAATTCATTATAATTTAGCTTACTTTTTATTAAACGAATTTTACTGAGATAAAGGTAACCTCTGGCTGTGATTCCCTCAGTGTTTGATTTTTTTATGAGGGCGCGCACATGTAATGCCTTCAGATGCCGCTAGATGGCAGTAAAGCGCTGCACACTCTGGTCTGCTGCAGGAGAAACACCGATGTTGATGATCCGGGAAATGGTCTACAGCAGAAATGAAAGACGCTGAAGTGTGTTGTTAAAGGAGTTGCTATACGTTTGCTTAATGTTTTCGTTTAAATGGCGCATTCTTTAACATTTATTGTTTTGATAATTTACCAAGAACTGCTCACAGGAATCATCAGCGTCGAAGTTATTTGGAAATCTCTGACGGAGGGAGATCTTCAGCGCTCAGATACATTTCAGCAAGATGTAAACAATGAACTCCATCAGAGGTGGATTAATTACCAGGTATTTACAGTACACTAATACAAAAAAAAAAAAAAAAACTCACAAGCTACAGCAATAAAACAAAAACTCATTCAAACAAAATCACTTCGGGGAGAATGTGAGAGTGAACTAAATAGCGTTTTAGTCGTTATAAACGATGTCTATCAAAAAAGTTTTTTTTTTCTTCTTTTTTCACATAGGCCTGTTAACATAAAAATAATGAATTCGTTTTTTAGGCTATCTAACGTTAATGTTCACTTCCTACGTCATAATTTCTACATTTATATGTAGTTAACCTTATTTCAAATATGTAAATTAATCTCAGTAAGTCTTGACTTTTAATAACTTAAACTTTGTCTCATAACTTACATGATATTTTTATGTTGCTTTTTCGTTTTAAGACTTAGTAGTATTGTTATTATAATGACTTAGTCATAGTTTTATTCATAGTCATTATTATTTATCAGTCGGTGTAATTACACGTTCTGTCTTGTTTTCTACTAATAAATTAAGAATTCCTATATAATATGCTATCATTTTGACCTTTAAACTCAAACTTGTTACATTCATAATTGAAACTTTTTATTAATTTTAATATTAGAGAAAAATGTTTAAATAAAAATTTATCTAAATTGTTTCTTATTAGACTTATAACAGTGACTTAAAGTCTTCTATCTACATTGTAAAAGCGCTATACAAATAAAGATGAATTGAATTGAAATAGTTCTTAATTAGAATGTCATAATCATTACTTTTAAAATCAGAAGTTTGACATTTCATCTATATCTTCTCATAAATATGACCACTAATAAAAAGTGAAAATAGCCTTTCACCCATTGCACTTCAGTGGCTCCACTCAGGTTTTGTATTTGCTATATTTAAAGCTATAATAATTGCTAACAACTAAAACTATAACTACTATGAATACTTACCTTATCACACTACAATTTGAAAAAGTGTATAGGGTTTATGTCACACATTTAAAATAAATAAGTAAATAAATAAATAAAACAATACCAGTAATGCCAATAGTTTTTTGTTATGTGCTGTTAATCACATGAGGAAAAGTGTCATGTTTCACCTGTTATGCGAGATGCCTCTGGTCACATGTTGTTTTATCTCGATGCAGAGTTCACTACAGAGACAGGCCTTTCTGAACTCAGCTCTTGGGAAATCAAACCAATCTGCCCAATATGGAGTAAACCAATTCTCTTACTTGTCTCAAAAGCAATTTAAAGGTAAGTACATAATGTAGACTGCAGATGCTTACAGATAAACATACATGTAAAGTGTCATCTGACGTGTTCCATTTGTTTCTCAGAGCAATATCTCACAGCTAGGGCTGAGGCAGCTCCAAAGTTTGACCAGTCCAAGTCTGAAATTAAAGTTAAAGCGAATAATCCACCCAGGTTTGATTGGAGGGACCATGGAGTTGTCGGACCAGTCCATAATCAGGGATCGGTAAGGTGGAGGTGTTAAGAACAGGCTATTTTCTTTTTCATTCAACGTTAACTCAAGTAAGAATTGTCTCAGAGATAATTTTCCTCTTGCACTTTCTTTTAGTGTGGAGGATGCTGGGCCTTCAGTATCGTAGAGGCCATTGAATCAGTGTCTGCTAAAGTTGGAGAGAAACTACAGCAGCTCAGTGTTCAGCAGGTTATAGACTGTTCTTATCAAAACCAGGGCTGTAATGGTGGATCTCCGGTTGAGGCTCTGTACTGGCTCACACAGGTGCTGTCATATGCTCACTCTTTTTTTATTATGATGATGAAATAACTGGGTGAATGGAATTTGTTGATATTTTGAATGGATTACTATTGATCATGGAGTCATGACAGTTCGTTTAAATGGTTTGGACACACCTGGTGCAGTATTCACGTATGCTGAATGACACTGGAACATTATACAGGATCACCTAAATTTTGGCCTTTTAATTGCATTTACTTTTCTTCCTGTTTTTGTGAAGAGAAAACATTAATCAGCACAATATTGATAATAATAATAATAATATTGGGTGCCACGGTGGCCCAGTAGTTAGCACTGTCACCTCACAGCAAGAAGGTCGCTGGTTCGAGTCCCGGCTGGACCTGGCATTTCTGTGTGGAGATTACATGTTGTCCCCGTGTTGGCCTGGGTTTCCTCCAGGTGCTCCAGTTTCCCCCACAGTCCAAAGACATGCACTATAGGTGAATTGGGTGAACTGAATTGTCCGTAGTGTATTAGTGTGTAACTGAGTGTGTACAGTATGAGTGTTTTCTAATACTGGGTTGCAGCTGAAAGATATCCGCTAAGTAAAGCGTATGCTGGAATAGTTGGCGGTTTATTACACTGTGGCGACCTCTGAAATAGAGAATAAACTAAAGGGAAATGAATGAATAATAATATTAAATGCATAATATGGATGCTTTTTTCATTAAAATGTCTATAAAACACTAGATCGAGGTTATATATTTTTATTTATAGACTTTTCTACTTACTTTATCCCGAATGTTTTGAAGAATGTTCAAATAAGCAATTTTAACTAGTGACACAGACCTTGATGTTTGTGAAGAGATATAAAAAAAAGTGTTGTCCCATGGAAACCTCAAGAATTGTGTTGATTCAGCGCATTTTAAATAAGTAGTTTAAA